AAAAAAAAAAAAAGAAGAAGAATAAAGCCGGTGCTGTTTTAGACAGTTGGTCAGGTGGTGAGGGCTGCTCTGAGGAGGTGATGTTTGAGCAGAGATCCTAAGAAACTTGCCTTGGTGTTCACTCCATGTTTCTTGCATTTAGCTTGATGCTGATGGACATTGTATGGGCCAGCAGCAGGGATGGTTGGCTATGACCCCAAAGCAGAAGGCAGGAATAACTCCAAAGTCGAGGTGGCAGTGGCTGGGTCTGTGTCTGGACTTGTCACACGGGCGCTCATCAGTCCCTTGGATGTCATCAAAATACGATTCCAGGTACTCTTTTCCCATGCAATAGGCTAGAGTACAAGATCAATCTTGCAAAAGCAGTTCTTACAACTTGCAATTTTGTCAAAGTGCTTTGTTTCTTTCTTTATCTTTTCTGAATTTTTTTTCTCACCCCTCCCCCAACCCCACTATCCTGACCTTTTTTATTTTGCTTCCCAGCTTCAGATTGAGCGCCTATCTCACAATAACCCCGGAGCAAAATACCGTGGGATCCGACAGGCCATAATGCAGATTTTGCAAGAGGAGGGCCCGACAGCATTCTGGAAAGGACACATCCCAGCCCAGCTTCTCTCCATAGGCTTTGGTGCTGTTCAAGTAGGTGGCAAGGGACATGGCCAGGTCCCTGGGTCACATTGCTCAATGGAAGAACGGAGGGAGGATGAGGCAGGCAGGGATGCTGCCTGGAGTGGGTGGTGAGAAGCAGGCCCCACACTTCCCACTTGACTTAACTGGAAATCTTTCAGACCCACTGAAAACGTCAGATCAAGACTTCCCTTCCCCATGTCTCCACTCTCCATCCCAGGTGACATAGCTGTTGCACCTGGGAGAAACAACACCCTTTATGGGGCTTGGCACAGGTAACACTGTTACTTTTCTTTTTTCTTTTTTTTTTTTGAGACAGAGTTATCCTCGGTAGAGTGCTGTGGTGTCATAGGTTACAGCAATCTCAAACTCCTGGTCTTGAGCTATTCTCTTGCTTCAGCCTCCTGAGTAGTTGGGACTATAGTTGCCTGGCACAACACCCAGCTATTTTTCTTTTCTTTCTTTTTTTTGGAAACAGAGTCTTACTTTGTTGCCCTTAGTAGAATGCCATGGCATTACACAGCTCACAGCAACCTTAAATTCCTGGGCTTAGGTAATTCTTCTGCCTCAGCCTCCCAAATAGCTGGGATCACAGATGCCTGCCACAACTCCCAGCTATTTTTTTTTGTTGCAGTTTGGTCAGGGTTGGGTTTGAACCCACCACCCTCAATATATGCAGCTGGTGCTCTACCCACTGAGCCATAGGCGCTGCCCAACACCTGGCTTTTTTGTTTGTTTGTTTTGAAACAGATTCTCACTATGTCACCCTGGGTAGAGTGCTATGGCTTCACAGCTCACAACAACCTCAAACTCTTGGTCAGCGATTCTCTTACCTCAGCCTCCCAAGTATCTGGGACTACAGGCACCTGCTACAACACTTGCCTGTTTTTTTTATTGTAGTTGTCGTTGTTTAGCTGAACCCACCAACCCCGGTATGTGGCTGGCACCCTAACCACTTAGCTACAACACCTGGCAAGGTTTTTTTTTTTTTTTTAAGAGACGAAGTCTTGCTCTGGCTCAGGCTGGTCTTGAACTCCTGAGTTCCGGGCAATACACCCACCTTGGCCTCCCAGAGTGCTAGGATTATAGGCATGAGCCACTGTGCCCAGCCCATGCTTTTTATTTTTTAAAATATCACCTCCAGGGCAGTGCCTGTGGCTCAGTGGGTAGGGTGCTGGACCTGTATACCACGGGTGGTGGGTTCAAACCCAGCCCCAGCCAAACTGCAACAAACATATAGCTGGGTGCTGTGGCAGGTGCCTGTACTCCCAGCTACTCGGCTGAGGCAAGAGAATTGCCTAAGCCCAGGAGTTGGAGGTTGCTGTGACCTGTGTGACACCATGGCACTCTACCAAGGATGATAAAGTAAGACTCTGTCTCTACAAAAAAAAAAAGAAGAAGAACGAAAAAGAAAATATCACCTTCATATATGTGCTTCATCTGAACTTCACAGAGCATTGAGAGCAGGGTAGAGCAAGTATTATGTGAGTCTCAGGGAGGGTAAGCGAGCTATCCCTGTGCATGATGGGGCTGGGATTAGAACCCATTCATTCAGTGAATGCCAGGATTATTTCATGGTGCACAGCATGTGGTT